TCTCAAACATCTTTATGAGCAATTTTGTTGTTGGTTGCTCTGGTAGGCATGCCCACCCCTCCTTCTGACACTTGTCTAACTTATCAAAGTCAGACTAACCTTCAAGTTTTAATTATTCTTCTCTGATGCTTTTCCCAGATGTGTAGTGAAAATTGATAAGTCCATTCTCTCTGTGGCTGTATTGTTTATAATTCTTTTTTAGAATTTCTCATATTATGCCTTATGTGATAGTGATTTATCAGTCTTTTTTGTCTCCAGCTATTTTACAAGCTCACAAAGGCAAAGACTTTATAATTCATTTTTATATCCCTTCACCATCTAGCAGAGCTCTTTGCATATAATAAACAGTCAGTAGTTGCTGAATGAATTTATCATTCATTGTTAAAGTGGTGGTGCCATGGTTTAAATTTAATCACAAACTATAAGGTTCATATTAATCATACCAAATATTTAGGACCTAAATATAGTTTTCATTAAGTATCTATAAGTTAAAGCGAAAGAAACATGTGAATGAACAAGGCATAACTTCATTAACACCGTGAAAGATGCCTCTAGTCACATTTTCCAAAACAGGTTGTACTAGTTTTATAGTAAAAATACTAAAAGGCTAGCTGTCCTAAAACATGCAGCTTAAAGTGTATGAGTTCAATAAAGAACTGTGCTCATTAAAAATTCTCCAATTTTTGGAATAGTTTATTCAAAAATAAGATGAATAAGTACAAATATTTCCAGTATAATCTTCTATGATTAGTATGTTGAGAATGTATAAAAAACTTTGAAAGCACAAATTCAATGATGACTGTCTTGAGTTTTCAAAAATGAAGATAATGAAAACACTTATTTTCCTTGTTTGAAACCCAACTTGTGATTTAGTAGTACATATACTTGTATTTAGCAAGTTCATAAGGGTCAGGATAAAAGTACAATTATGAGATTAGACATTAAATCTGTTTTGAAAAATCCCTTTCATTTTTCATGAGAGTGTGGAAAATATTAGAAATGAGTCAATGCTCTTTAGAAAATATGAGGATAATGGCTGTGTCTTGAAATTTTTATCTGTGTGCTGAGCATAATTCCACACATAAAATAAATTTAATAAATACTTGATGAATGAATAATTGAAGGATTTGATTTTATAAGACATAAACAAAATTAAATTGTAGTGCTCCAAAATACTATTATACAAATAGAAACTACTGAATTCCAAAACTATGAGCCAACTTCTATTGAATTTGTGTCTTTGATAAGGAAAACACACACAGCAGTCCATTTTCATATGAATTTGAGCAAAAATGTCTTTTTGTTTATACATTGTAATAATTATAGATATTTTCATAGAATACAAAAGCCTCAAGTCTCAGTGTACCCAGAGATTTTCAAAGTTCTGACTAGATGTTATTGACTGGGTTTAGAACTTAGAACTTGGATTTCAAACTTAGAAACTTTGTGGAGTTTTTTGTTACAAAGTCAATATTTTTATATATTTCGTGTAGCCATGCTTAAATTTAACAGGAAAAGAGAGGCAAAGTGGGTGTGCTGAGCCAATAAAATGTAAGCCACATATAGACCAAATAAATTGTGCATGACATCAGAGTAGGCACGTAAAAGTCCTGGGAGTGACTATCCGTGAGCTATGGATGTGACTATGACTTGAGCCATGTCAGAAGCATGGTGCCCACAAAATAGAAAATGAATTTCTCTGGATCACTGCTGTTTGGAGATGTATATATAAAATACCACAGGCATAATATGTAAAGTGCATGAATTACATAGTATCGTGGTCATCCTTGACTCCTCATCTTTTATTAATGCCCTATCTTCCATCTAAATTTCTTCAACTTCTATCCAGAATCTGGATCACTTCAATGTCACCATGATGGTCTAAAACACCATCATCATGCACTTAACTACTTGTAACAGTCTCCCATTATGTTTCTGTACTTCTATTCTTATATGCCTTTATTTTCGATAAAACAGGGGGCTGATCGTTTTATTTTTATTTTTAATTGAAGTAAAACACACATATAAGAGTGTAAAGTACTCTAATAGGAATTAAGGTAAAACAAACATAGAAAATATATAAAGTACTCCAATCTTAAGTATATAGCTGATTGATTTTTTTAATATGTATATACCTGTATAGTCACACTCAGATCAAAACAAAGGACACTTCCAGCATGCCCCTTCCCACTATACAACTTTCCAGACTATACCCTTCCAAAGTTCATCACTATTCTAATATTTTCAGTGTTTAATTTTGTACATCTTGAATTTCATGGACATTGGGGATAAAAAATATAATACTTTTGTTGGCTTCTTTACCTCATCTTTATATGAGATCTTCTCTGGAGGTCAGTTGCTTAGTCTGTAAAGAGGAAGGTAGACTGACACTGGGAGCTAAAATTTGAAAACAAACTGAATTTCAGCCCCAAACCACAGAGTTTCTGATTTTTTTTTTTTTTTTTTTTTGTCTGGAGTCTGTCAGGGACTCCAGAGTGGTCTATTACTAAAAATCCCAAAGAGAATTGAACTTACAGGCTCTGAATCAAATGATCTCTTTCTCCCTCTTTCTTCTTTCTCCCTCTCCCTCCCTCTTTCTCCCTCTCTACTTTATACTCCCTCCTTCTCTCCCTTTCTCCTCCTCCCTCTCCCTTTTCCTCCCTCCTCCTCTCTCTCTTTCTGTGTCTATCCCTGAGCCCTCTACTCCTTTCCATAGGGATGGATTGGCCACCACTCCTTTTTATCTCTATCCTTCCTTAAGTGTGCACAGAGCCCCTGTCAGATACTGAGCACCCCCATAGGTTGCTGAAGGTACATGAGTGAACAAAATATAGTCCCTGTCATGCAGGGGCTCGGTCTCAAAAAACCCATACTTAAATATATAAACAAATATCCTTGAATATACTGTCAGTATATTTTCTCTACTCCATTAAGGTCCTTTTATTTTCCCTAGTTTATAGTGCATGCTAAGAGTTCTTTGTCTTTAATATCCACTCCAGACACTAGTTTATTTTTTAAATGGTTTAAATGGTAGCCACAAAAAACAATCTGACAATATTATTATAGATGCTATTTATTAACCTTTTGTAGGTCTTATAGTGAATTAACATGTTTGTATTTAATAAAAATAACTAAAATTTAGGCAGTAATAGCCTGTGAATATTTTTTAGTAAATTGCACATGTTTAGAATCTTCTTATTTTCTGAAAAAGTATATAATTGGTAGGAAATCAGCAGCATTGGGACTATTATGATAAGCATTAAAAAATATTCAATTCAATTCTCTTGGTATTAGACCACAATAATTATTTGGTGTGTTTCTCTTATTGTATTTAATGGTCCTAAAAAAAATTTAAAAGAACATTTTCTTTTTTAAGACTTATTAATTTGAGAGTGAGTGAGTGAGTGAGCACAGGCAGGGGCAGAGGGAATAGGAGAAGGAGAAGCATACTCCACTGCTGAGTAGAGAGCCCAACGTGGGGCTCAATCCCAGGACCCTGGGATCATGACCTGAGCCGAAGGTAGACATTTAACCAACTCAGCCACCCAGGTGCCCCTAAAAGGACATTTTACATGAATGCAGTAGAACATCCTGTTTTTCCAATTTCTTTTCTTTCCTCCTTATTTCCTTCCTTATACAGTCTTATTTTCTAGTAGCAAAGTGAAAGGTAAAGAAAAGAAAAGATTTAAGCACAATAACCTTATTGGATATTTAGATGCTGATGAGCAAAACAAGATTTGTTTGGTCATATTATATTCTGTGACTTCCAATTTTCTGGTTTTTGGGTTTTTGTTTTGTTTTGTTTTAGTAGAATGATTTCAATAAAACAAGTTTTCTTCTTAGTAACACTTATTTTGAAATAAATAAAAATCATTTTCCTCAAAGTAAATGTTTATATATGAGCTGCAATCATTTTTTAAACAAAGAACATCTCATTGAATATTAGTTTTGCATAAAATTATATTTAAAAAGGAAGATAAATAATTTCCCACTGTATAAGGACAGATTTTGAGTCTCTTTTTTTTCTTTTTCTTTTCTTTAAGAGACATTTTGTCCTTTCTGTGAAGCTAGGCTAGAGAGGACATTGGCAGAATTTTGTATGTTCTTATGCATAGCTTTGGATGAGAATTTAATGGGATAGAAAACAATATCTTGCCAAGAATTAACTTTAAATCTTCTATTTACTTTAGAATTTCAAGATTTATGGAATACCAGAACAACCCAGGGAGATGACTCATAAAGAACTAGAACTTTCTAGTTTCCTACATTCTTTTAAAGAAGTCTTAACTGTTTTAACTTCACTGTATAATACCATATATCAATATTGAGATCAACCTGTGAATTAACATAAATCAATCATTTAGAGTTTTTGGGTTTTTGTTTCTACCTATCACTCTAAATGGTTACAAACTGGTAATCATATCAAAACCAACTGTTTAAAAGCCATGGCATCACAATCTTAAATTGTAAAGATAATATTAAATTTAATTAGAGGAATATACAACTGTCAAAGTACAAATACATTTTTTAAAGTAAAGACTTAGTTATAGTTTAAGATGAAAATATGCTTTATTTGTTTCACATCAACCCTCTGGCATAATGACCAACTATTACTGGTTGAATCCCAATTACCCACATCCTAACATTCTCCAACATGCATAAGCAAGTCTCCTCCTGTATGGATGCTTTCATTGAGACCTAGTTGTGAAGCACAAAATCCAGTTTTATGTTAAGTAGGTGGGTTGCTAATCTGTGAGAATGCCATTCTTCATCAGGCCTTTATGAATTGTTTGTGACTACCAACCCAGACAATGGAAGCTTTATATTCGTTCTACAATTATCTGAAATAATTCTAGTTAAACTCTGGTAAAGATCTCTAGTATGAAATGAATGTAAAGTATTCATTCTTTCCATATCTTACTCTCTGGTTTCATTTTAGCTCATTTGTTTATTTAAAAATAACCCTCTAAGTTGCCTTTTCACTGCTTTTCATGTTACAGATTGAAAATGTTGATGTCTGCCTTAGTTTTCTAGCAGCCAGAGGAGTAAATGTTCAAGGTCTATCTGCTGAAGGTAAGAAAAGGCACAGTTGTCACAAATAACACCCAAGTTTATAAAAAAAAAAAAAAGTTTTTGTATTACAAGAAATGTAAAGTGGGAGTACATAGCTTCTTAATGCATGAAGTCAAGATTCCAAATTAATAGAAACATAAATACAATGGTTATTAATGTATGCTTTAATTACTTATATATGTTCCATATTTTGCCAAAACTGTTATTTTCATGACTGAGTGTGTGGGAGAGGGGTAGATTAACAAAACATTTTTATGTTATTATCAGTGTATAGTATTTTTAGAGTCTTTTTTTTTTTTTAAAGATTTTATTTATTTGACAGAGAGAGATCACAAGTAGGCAGAGAGGCAGGCAGAGAGAGAGGGGGAAGCAGGCTCCCCGCTGAGCAGAGAGCCCGATTGTAGGGCTCGATGTGGGGCTTGATCCCAGGACCCTGGGATCGTAATCCGAGCCGAAAGCAGAGGCTTTAACCCACTGAGCCACCCAGGCGCCCCTATTTTTGGAGTCTTAAGTAGAGGGATGGATGGATACATAGGTAATGCTACATTATAGATGGACTAAATTCAGGAAAAATAGTATAATTAATCTGCAAATATCATTTTTTCAGTAACATATCAAATTGGTAGTCCTAGTTGAAATATTTGGTAAGTTTAAATAAGTCATCATGAGTTCTGAAATAATTAACAATTAAAATATTTAATAACTGTCATATGTAAAAACTTTAGAGTCATTAAAGATTTAAAGGATCATTACTAAAATTAAAATACAGAAAACTGGGAAAAGAGGGAAATAGTTTTTTTTTTTAATCTTTGTCTTTCACATATAGTTTTAGGAAAACGTTTCAAGTACTATAACAATCTAGTTGCTAAGGCTATGAAATAGCAAGTCTTTTGAGATCCACAATAACCACTATTTTATTAGAATATTAACTTATATGCTAAAATTCTGCTAGATACTAGTATATCCTGCAACAATTTAGATTGTTTAATGCTTCTACTTTAGTCCCTTACTCTGAATAGTCTTTTCCCCCGACACATACTAGAAATATTAGACAGGTCTAAGTTTTAAAAATTTTCTGTCATTGGAAAAAGAGGAATTACGTGGATTCTGGAATACAATGAACATTTAGTAGAATTATTAAGTTTTCTCAATTTTTCTTCTATATTCATTTTTTTGTTTTAAATTTCCTTTGTCTTTTACACTTATATGACATGTTATGTAATATTAAATTACACATTTGGGGGCCAAAAACCTTAGGTTCAAACCTAACTGATGGTTCTTTAACTTAGAATAAAAGTTGATAAAATTCCCCAGGAAAATATTTTACTTTTTCAGTGGTTAAAAGTAAGTTAAAAATGTTACCATTTGTTTGATTTATATCTCTGTCTTCTCATATGACATTCTTTAGTAAAAGAAACTCATTGATTTTCATTTATCTTCTAAAAATATGTAAATGCTCAAAATAATTTTCTAAGTTAGTAAAATATGCATACTAAGAAAACAAGAAATTTTAAAAACCTTTAAGATCATCTAGATTTACATGAGAACATTAATACTTCCTTACTATAGCTTCATATTGATCAGACTAACTCTTCTATATTATGGCAACTGCGAGAAGGTTTGGGGGGGGCATCTCATTTTCACTTTAAATGAATAATCCTACTGCATATATTGTGTGACATTTATAAACCATCAGAGAGCAAGAAATCAGAATAGTTTGTTAATACCCTAAACTACAAAAAGGAAACATAAAACCTTGGCTTCACAAGAGGATGTATTTTATTCCCAATGTCGTGTTTTAATTAGTATATAATTACAGTTTTCATAGCCTTAGTTCAAGCTTTACTTCCATTTCTCCAAAATTTTAAATTATGACTACAAGTAAAAGAAAATGAAGTTCAGATTGTAGCTTACTTTGGGTGTTTAACTTTTTATTCAGTGTAAAAAGAATTTAAGAGCTCCATGTACTAGAACTAGGATTTACATTCACGTTTATTCAGTTGTTATCTAAAGACATGAATAAGCTGATCTTTATTATTTATTAATATGTAATATGAGTCAAGAGAAAAATTGGACCATTAAAATACTTATTATATGTACTTTTAGGATATTACAAGTATAGTCATACATATAAATACATAAACATTTTAATAAATTGATTGTTAGGTGATTTAGGATAACAACTATAAATCTAGTTGCCATTATAAGGTGAACCCACACCATCATTACTTAAAATGTAGGACAACCAGCATTTAAGTGGCCATCTTTCTCCACTTCTTAGCCATCACTGTATTGGTAGCAGCTGAGACTTTGTGAGGGAGTCAGAATGCTGAATCACATGATTAGCACAAGACAGCCCATCCATTTCTGGGAAGAAGCAAACTCTAGAAAAATTGTAGTTGATGATCAGCAAAGAACCTTGCTCCTACACGTTTTGTTCTCTCTACCTTCCATCCCATCACTCTGTCCCTGAAGCTCCAGGCTCTTTGGAAATGTATCATGCTTCAGAAAATTCAGATTTGCTGGAATCTGTGACTTCGAGACTCGAGGTGCATTTCTGTCTCCTCATATTTCGTCTAAGAGGATGGCAACTGGAATTGCATTTGTGACAAATAAATAAATAAATAAAAAGGAAAACTGCATTCGTTTCATATGCTACTGTTTTTATATTTTTCCCTTTGATGCAGAAATAAGAAATGGAAACTTAAAAGCCATTCTAGGGCTGTTTTTCAGTTTGTCTCGCTACAAGCAGCAACAACACCATCAGCAACAGTATTACCAGTCCCTGGTAGAACTTCCGCAGCGGGTCAGCCACGCCTCCCCTCAGGCAGAAGCCAGTCAGGCCAAAACCCAGCAAGATATGCAGTCCAGGTAAGGAAGGGAAGCAGGGCGTGTGTGTAAAACTTACTTGTCTGGATGTAAACTGGGTTTTTTTTGTTTGTTTGTTCGTTTGTTTTTTTTTAACGACTTACTGTTTGTGAGATTGGAAAACATATTTATGTAGCTGCATCCATGTTATGATGTAATTTGACCAATGTCATAGACGTTAAGGCCACTTTTTTCTTATGGTTGGATGAGCAACCTTTATTAACTTGAGGTGAGATATTTGTGTTTGTTTTCTAAAGTTGATGGTGGTTTGTATCAAAGTGTGTGAAATGTCTTTCTTGTGAGTGACGTGGCACCGTTGTTTCCTTCTTCAGATTATCATTTAGAATGGGCTATTGAGTCCTACTCTCCGGTTGTGTTGTTATCTCTTAATTGAGGGTTGTGTTCAGTTCATGAAATCTGTTAAAATTTTTGGGTCTGTTAAACATACGGATTTGAGTGTTTGCGGGACATATTGTTTTTAATGTGTGATTGTGTGCACGTGTGTGTGTGTGTGTGTGTGTGTGTGTGTATTTTTAAACACACATGCATGTGTTCATCTGACTTGAGTCTGTTGGTACATTGTAGACACAGCCTGGGGTGGGGTGCTGACAAATCGTGGCAACTTCCTTCCCTCTTCCCTTAGCACTGTTTTCCAATTTGGGATTTTATCAGTCAGGGATCAACCAGAGAAGCAGAACCAGGAAGGGATTAAGAGATTTACTGTGAAGAATTAGTTTACATGGTCTTTGGGACTAGCTGGGCAAGTCTGAAACCCTAAGGGCATCCCAGCAGGAAGGGCAGGCTGAAACTCTCTCAGCCGGAGCCAGAACTTTCATATACAGGTAGAATTTCTTCTTCAAGGAAGCCTCCATCCTGCCTTTAAGACCTTTCAAGCAGGGAATCAGACCTACCCAGATTATCTAGGATAAACTCCCTTGCTTAAAGTCAGCTCCTATGGCCTTTAACCGCCTCCACAAAATACTTTCTCAGCAGCACCTAGATTACTGTTTGATTGAACAAGTGGGCTGAGTAAGCCTAGCTAAATTGAAACATCAAAAAAATGATCACAGAATGAAATGAAATTAACAAGTTTCCTGCATACTGCTCATTTGTTCCTCACCAATGACCGGGGTATTGGGTCATTAGCTCTATTGTGTAAATAGCTGATTGTTTTTCCTTCAGAGGGAGAGTGTCTAATATGCAAATATTCATCATCTTTAAGAGTATATATACGTATCAAACAAATGTAAATATTTAACTTTTTCCATCTTAGAAGGCAAGCGTGAAACCTAGTAACTGCTCAGTGTACCCTGAGTTTATTTTTGGTATTTAGTATTGACTCACAAAGTTAGAGTAAAATTCGAAATTACATTCACATACCACCTCCCCTGCACCCACTTACTGTCAAATATTCAACAGTTGAGATTTCCTCTTCTCTTTCATCTGCCAGCCAGCCCTTTCTTCATATTAAGCAATACTTCTTTTCTCTGTATGACCAAGTAAACTCTATTCATTTGGGCGGATTTGACTCACTAATGAATTATGAAGTCAATAAAGAAAAATTGTAACTTTATCAAAAAACAGAGAGTATACTGCATGGTTCAGGGAGTGATAAAAGATGTTTCTCATTAGTCAGTAATGCAGATATGCTTTTCTTCTTAAAGCTTGTCCTGGCTTTTTGTGATGTAAGTGAAATTGTACAAAAGTCAAAGTGAAAACAAAATTCTCTACAGGGGAAGTTCTTTGGATTTCTTTAAGAATGGGGGGAAGGAAATATCTTTTTTTATTATTTATTATTATTTGGGGGAGATGGTTGGTAGAAAGAGATCCAGATTTTGAAAACTGCCAGAAATAATATTTCCTAGAGTTTGGTTTATGTTATTTGAATGGACAAGAAGCAAGAATAGTAGCTGAGAAAACAGGGAGTTAAGTGGTATTATACAAAACATGTTAACTCTGGAAGTGATATGCAGTATCATTTGTCTTTGCTTTACCTCAATCTATTTCTGTATCTGCCATGTGGAATTTCTTGCCTAGAATTTCTCAGTGGTTATGACCCTTCTGGGGAGATTGTTTTTCTCATTCTTGCTGGTTATGCAGGGCTGTTATGGAACAATATTTTATTTAAAAATATAAAGCCCTATATATAGTAGGCATGTAATTTTATACCATTTTGGAGAGAGCAATTTTATTCTTTTCATTGGAAGATTTTGAGAAGTATTCTTTTCACCAGTGTCCTTTAAGACTGAGGTAGACAAAGAATTTGCCTTGTGATAAATTTAATTACTTTTAATTACTTGGTAGACTGATAATGAGTTGATAATGTGGAGTACGTGCTGTACTAAATATAATAGTTATGACCCTGATGTACAGGGGTTACATGTCTTCATCTTAATAGAATTTATTATCTGTTTTGCAGAATATTATATTTCAAACATTAATACTTATTTCCGTTTACATAGATTTGGTACAGAGAAACAGCCTATGAATTAGAATTTATGTGGACTTACATACAACAATATATGTTAAGTATTTTTCAAAAGCCATAGTATATACATAAGAAAGGATGTTTACTTTATGTCTACATAGTAAAACAAAGGTAATTAATGCAGAAAAAAAAAAAAACCAGTAACACATTTATCTTCATTTGCTTCAGATGTGAGTCATAAGTCATGATTTATGAAGACTTTCTGTTAATTCTAAAGCTCTTCCCAAGTAAATAGCTTAAATGACTGGTTGCTATATTATTCTAGATATTTTGCCGGAAAATATTCTTATATTTCTTCTCTGTCAACTCATAAAAAATTTTAAGGGCACATGATTTCAGTTCAATGAGAGTTTTGTTCTTTTTATTTAAAATAAATTGATGTAACTACATATATTCCCACAATATTTATTTTATACATTAAGAATTTCTATTTTGCAAATAATTCCAAATGTTTTCAGTCATTTGAAACTTCTCTCATTCAAACAAACACTTAGACCTAAACATTAACAAGTACACAAGAGAGAAAATAAAACATGGACCAGGAGGACCAGAGTATGCCTAACAAACTCTCCTTTACTGGTTTCTCAGCTCTTTCTCCACTCTTGTGCATATATATTTGTGGATATGTAGGTACATATACATGAGGACATACCCACGCGAGTGTGTGTGTACACATGTGCAAGTGTGTGTGTGTCCTGTTCCAGTGGCAACTAGAGCTCTAGTTACTCAAAGTTTGCCTCTAGAATCAAACTGCCAGCACCTGGATCTGAATTTCAACACTTCCTCATTGTGGGGCCTCAGGTAACTTGCCTGACCTCTCAGTGCATCAGTGTTCTCATTTGTTAAAAGAATTAAAAATGGCACCCATCTTATGAGGTTGTTTTTGGGTTCCCTGAGTCACTACAATATAAAACATTTTGAACATACTAGGCACACATCACTCCCTGCTCAAAGCCTTGCAATGGTCTCAAATAACCCAGGCTTGCTCCCACCTTCAGAGACATGCTTTTGCTGATTCCTTTGCCTGGAATACTCTGTCTTCTAGCTGTTTGGTTAAATCTCTCACCTGCTTCAAGGCAATGGCCCACATGTTATCTTGTCACTGATGCTTACCTTGACTAAGACCCTTTTACTACTATAAGCTGCCCATGTTCACTCCCCATTGTACTTTGCCATACTTTTTATTTTTTCTTACCTTTAATCTCAATGTACTTATTTATTATATTCATTGTTTATTATTGCCGTTTCCTTGTAAAAGGTAGGCACTATTAATACAGCAGTATTTTTTTATATTTTAGTCACTGGTATAGCCCAAGGGATAAACACAGCCTTACACACAATTTTCAACAATTATTTCTGCAATAAGATAATGTAAGAATTAACAAATTTGTGTTATGGCTGCTTCCAATTTTAAGTAAGAACATCAGTATTTAAAATTATAAGTGATTCATAGTGAAAATTGTGTGTATTTATAAAATTTATAGAATAAAAATAATTAAATTTGTTCTTGATTTTGGGGGTGGTCATGATATTGAACTACAATTAGTTTCAAAATGGTATACAGTGGAGATTATTATTATTATTGTTACTGGAATTATCCACTTATATTATCTGTATTAAAAGAAAGCTGGGACTCAGGGAGGGAAGGAGTGAAGGAGGCAAGGAGGAAAAAAGAAAGAGAAACAGAGAAAGAAAAAGAAGAAAGGATGGAAGGAAAGAAAAAGGAAGGGAAGAAGGAAAGAAGGGAGGAAGGAAGAAAGAAAGAAACTTTAAAAAATAATACATTAAAGGTCCTTCAATCAACTGGGAAGATGTGAAAATGTTTTAATATAAAGTGATAAAAATTAAGAGTTGAAATCATAGTTATTTTCTCCAAGTATTAACTAAGAAATGGGGAAGTATTTTCTTTTCTTTTTTTTTAAATTTTTTTTTTATTCATTTATTTGACAGGAGAGAGATCACAAACAGGCAGAGAGGCAGGCAGAGAGAGAGGGAGAAGCAGACTCCCCACTGAGCAAAGAGCCTGATGCGGGGCTCAATCCCAGGACCCTGAGACCACGACTTGAGCTAAAGGCAGAGGCTCTAACCCACTGAGCCACCCAGGCTCCCCAATTTCTTAATCTAGAAAGCAAAGTAGAAATATACACTATATTTTCCAACTCAAAATTCATTTGATCAGTAAATATGGTTTGAGCATCAGGATATTTCTGCTAATCATACTTTTCCCTGTGTTGAGTTTTGACAATGAAAGTTCTATTTGACATGAAAGGTAACAGGAAGTTTAATTTCACCAAAATCTTTTACAATGCCTGGCACATGAGACCAACCAACAATGAGCAGAATGCTTGTCCTGAATGGATAATTTTCTTGAGACTATCTGGTAAATAATTATAGTGAAAGAAAATTATATACTGAAAATTCATTTTTCTTATGTACTGTTCAGTTATATATGAGGTATTAGCATGATGGCATTTGTAAAAGATGATGATTTTTATTTGCTAAAAGCTTTACAAAA